GAGAGAGAGAGAGAGAGAGAGAGAGAGAGAGAGAGAGAGAGAGAGAGAGAGAGAGAGAGAGAGAGAGAGACTCAATGACAGGAGGAGAGTGGAGCAGAGGAGTCATAGAGCAGGAGAGATTATTATTTTCTGCCGCCATACATTGGTTCTTCTTGTTCCTCTTCTCCCCCGTCCTTCCTCGTAATCTCATACTTCACCTCACCTGTGCATGTATAGCACAGAAGTCTCTTCTATGTGTGGGCCACTCCCTGCTGTAGTGGGCTCAGATCTGTGTTATATTCTCATTTTGCTCCATCGTCAGGTAGGTCCCTGTCTGATTTGAGTCTTTCGCTGTGTGACATTGTCTCCCCACCATGTTGACGATTCCCGGACTTCAAATTGTCCACCGCCCACCAGTAAGAGCATCAACAGGTCACAAAGAGGGGGCATGTCCTGGAGAGGGGTCTAAGGGGGCATGTCCTAAACAGCGGTCATTGGAGGAGGCCACAGGAAGCTATGCGCCCGAGGGTTCAGATGAGGGCTCATGAAGGGGGGTGCACAAAAAGGGGCTTACGAGCTAGAGGGGCCTAAGGGGCCATGTCCTAAAAAGGGGTCATTTGGAGGAGGCCACAGGAAGCTATGCGCCTGAGAGGGTTCAGAGGAGGGCTCATGAAGGGGGGGCACAAAAAGGCGCCTTTTTGTGCCCCCCTTCATAAGGGGGACCACGAACTAGAGGGTAATCAAGTGCTGTTCTGCACCGACGAGAATGCAAGGGCGCGCTTGGCACTTGCAGCATGCAAATGTGTGCGCTGAGTGTTGTACCAGCTGGAAGGGGTGCGGAGAGGGAGGGTGAGAGGGACGGAGAGGGGCATGGAGGGAGGGAGGGAGGAAGCGAGGGAGAGAAGAGAGGAGGAGGAGGAGATTCCAGAATCGGATGGGCAACACATTGCCGAGAACAAAGCTGGCTGCTATCGCATACCGAAAAACACAGAAAACGCCAAAAAAAGAAAAACAAGCGAAAAGTCGGCAAGCATGAAAATGAAAGGAAGGCCTGCCTCTAGAAGAGACTGACAGACTATGGTTATCGATCAAATATGGTACAAGGGAAGCAATTAAGAACGCAAGAGTTTTCACTCGTCAGAGGCATCTACAGGGTGAGTGCAAACACCCTATGGGCTGCAGAACAGCTCTCGCAAGGGATGGCCAAGACCTTTTACAAGCAAAAAAGTGATTTGTCAGAATTGAGGAGTGGCATGATCAGGGCATAGTCAAATCAGACAAGGACCTTTTCGATCGCACCTGGCCTTCATTATGGCCAGATGCATGACCACTCATGATAGAGCTGAAACCCTACGGTTTGCACGCCAACTCTAGCAAGAACTGGCCTAAACCTCTTACGAGCAGAGAATGATTTGTCATGGTGGAAGAATGGCATGACCAACGCCTTCTCGCCGTTACGTTTCAATCGAATCTGGCCTTGATTACAGCCAGGTGCCGGTCTTTGATTACACCCAGCTTTTCAATTGAATCTGGCCTTGAGTACAGCCAGATGGATACATGAAATCAAGCCCTGAAGTGAGTATTCGGACTGTATTCCCTAAATCAAAATGTGCCGGAAAGTCCTGAAATGAGTATTCCCTGAATCAGCATGTGCTCGATGCACCGGAAAAACAAAACAAGTGAAAAGAAAAAACGAAAAAAAAACATGCATCAACCTGAGTCAGAAAGACAAAAAAGGGATTTACATCTCATGCTCTATCTTACACGATGTTTACAAGGGTGGAGAAGAAGTACAGGAAATGAAAAGCCTGAAAACTCTTTCCGATGAACACTGTCATCCTTTACCTCCATCCTAACGCCTCCTCTGCTCCTCCTCCTCCTCCCTCCTCCTCTTATTGCTATGGACGGGGGGAATGCATCTGCTGCTTCTTCACATAAGGGCCTGGCTGAATCGAGCTGCACACAAACATAATCGTCCACAATGGTCATGTTGCATGATTAGCTCTTTTTTGAATGTCAAATTTTGAATAGATTCACCAAAAAAAAAAAAGAGAGAGAGAGAGAGAGAGAGAGAGAGAGAGAGAGAGAGAGAGAGAGAGAGAGAGA